TCTTTACAAAATATCATGACTGGAAAATTATTGGATGATATTAGCAGGAAAAATGATCGAAAACTTGTGTGATTTTCTGTTTCACTGCAGTTACGGTTTTCTTGATTCGTATGTGATGTAAAAATGAAAAATTGTGCCAAGTACGCGAAAAAGTTGCAATCGCCAGCTGCACACAGTGAGTGATTCTGCTGGTCTGCTGAGGCTCCGCTATTGCAGACGCTGTGTCTGTGCGTTGTTTTCGATCTCACACTCCTCAGTGTCGCACACACTCGCTGTCCCTTTCGTGTCTGGTTCAAATCTTTTTGGCGCGTTGCCGTGCACCACTTGACCTGCTAAAATCTGATCCTGCATTATCACCATATCCATTTTATCCTTGTCAGCTTTTCTGTGTTTCTATAGAATATTTGAGGTTAGCACTGTTGTCTCAGGATTGTGCTCCCGCTTGCGCTACTACACCGTCTTTGTCTCGACAAGGCTCATCAACGAGTCTTTGTAGCGAAGGGCTCCTAGCTGAGACAGGCTCCTTCCGTCCAAACCCGGTTTGTTATGCTCTACTTTTATCAATTTTCCATCTAAAACTACGTTTCTAGATCAAATTTGATAACGTGGATGAAACAGATGTTCGTATCCTCAACACTGGTGATATCGTCTTAAAAGGAGTTGTGATTGCCGCGATTGCCGCAGAGACTATTGGTCTAAAAAAGGACACAGCAAAAAAGCCAAAAATGGAAGTCGTAGAAGATGCAGAAAATGACGAGGAAATGACGGAGTGAGTAATTTAATCTTGAATTCGATTCCATTTATTTTGTGTGAAGTTCACTCTGTTTCACGAAATTCACTCTGCTACTTTCAGTGAAGAGGTCGTAGACGTGGTTAGCGATGAGGATTTGGAAATGCAGGAACTCATTAGGCAAGAAAAACGTGCTCGTTCGGGTAAACCACCGAAAGAGAAAAAGGTAATGTTTTGAGTCTCTCCGTCCTTTGAGTACAAAACCAGTTTTACAAATAGTTGAGCGGCTCGTTGCAATTTTTTAAGTTTTTATGTCTATATGTCTAATCAATCATTGTCTGTCAAAAGCTGCTTATTTGCTAACATCAGGTCATCCTTGCAATTTTTGATTTTCTGGGATTCATGTTTATTTATGTTTTCCCTAAGCCGATGATCATGTTATAGAAACGGCCAAAAAGAAACAAAGGCGGCGATGTTGGTGCCGATGAAGATGCAGATCGTCTTCTGCGAAATGCCGATGCTCTCCTTCACGAATCACCCAGTAAGGTCCGTAAGGAGGATGGTAACGACTCAGTCGAGGAAATAGAAGAGGTAATTGATCTATTATGTAAACGAGAAGTTACGAGTACATAATTGCTACCCTTAAGATCACTGACGCTGACACGAAGGAGAAAGTCAAGTCAGAGAAAGTTGGCAGTAAGACTAATGGTACATCTGCCTCGAAGAAAAGCTACAGTGGATCAAAGAAGGAAAAACTTGGCAAGGAGAAGAAGTAAGTTGCTTTGACCTCTGCAAAGTATTCCTCGCACTCATCCCACTTACATTTTCAGGGCAGAAGATGTGAAAAAGAATGGGGAAAAGTCTAAAGAATCGGATAAAAGTGATGTTTCGTCGTCAGAAGACGAACCTATTGTCAAGCGCCACAGATTATCGAAGAAAGAGGTATCACTAACCTTTACATGCTTGTCACAATTTTGGGACACTCGACTCTTGTAAAACATTTGTTTCTAACATCACTCTATTGAGTGAGTTTATTAGGGCTACGAGATAAACCGAACTGCAACAAAGTGTAGAGAACCCTTGTTACTAGGATGTTGCTTTTGCGCTGGGTATCGAGATCGAGAGAATATATACGATCAACTAGGTCAAAGTTCTAGCAAGGCACAAACTTTACGTACATCTATGGCATCTCCAGTCATTCCCGTGGTAGCATAAAAGAAGGACCACAGCAGTCTTTGTCGGGTTAGGAGGCTTTTAGGTATGGGAGGTTTCTCAAATGATTGAACGTTGCTCGATCAGCTCATACATATTGTTTGATGCCTTTTTCCTCATCGTCACAACTAAATATTGCTTTTGCCCTGCTGGGACTTTTCCCTGGATGAAAGCATTGCGATTTAGTGGATTCGGCAGAAGTTCACGATGCGATATAGTTCACGACGCACCCTTATCAAAGACATGCGCGACAGATTCTCGACTAAAATTTGGGTGTTACTTCAGACTTTCTGGTGCTACGATTAGCATTCCTTAACATTTTCAATGCCATGGACTGCTGATACTAAGACCACTGGAGACAGCGTATGGGCTGATCTGAAATTTTACTTCCATCATAAACAAACGTAGCACTTTGAGCTAACTATTGCGCACAACTTGGTTTCCAAACACTACCTCTAAGAGGAGATTGGGTGCTTTCTAGAATCAGTTTGCGGACTTAAACGCAGCTTTCGAGGAGATTTTCAACTTCTATTTTTGCGTTCCAATCAATTTTTTCGTGGCACTAATTTTATATAAAAGCATAAATCATTTGAAAACCTTTTTCTCTTCAAGGCCATCTTTCCAAGAGCAGCGGTTTGCCCTAGCGCTAAGCCTTTCGAAAGTAGACTGGAACAATCTGCATTCGGTTGTGCAGAGGCCATTTTATATCAAAAATAGACCCTAAGGTGGTATACGGATTCATGTTTGTTTAGTTCCATTGTTGAAATCGACGCCATGAAAAGTTCAAAAAAATATCGGATGGGATACAAAAAAAGGAAATCTAGAATGGCTTGCCTGGGCTTTAGGTTGAAGAAGGTTGAGAATGTTAGAATCTTGCCTTATGATTCCTGATTGTGCACATACAGTCATGTCCATCTCTTCGCTACTGTTTTTCTTGAAAAAAGAGGTGTTTACATCTAATGAGAAGTGAAGGAACACTGCGTAATCGTCTGAGTATAGCTAACTGCATATGAAATACTCAGGGTCCACATCATGAGAAAAGTATTTTAGAAGGAGTTGGCTGACCTGGTATCGTCTGCACAGAGGCTTATTCGCTCTTCGTCAAGTGAAGATGAAAGCATCAAGAAGGAATCACATGCAAAAGGGAATAAGAGGTAGGTGATACATTTCTGCATGATCTTTATGCGTGAACCCCATTTTCCTGGCTTCAGGCGGAAAGTT